CCCCAAAACCCCAAAACCCCAAAACCCCAAAACCCCTCAATCTTCTGATATGGCTATGCTGAGAGAATCAAAAATATATTTGATTGATGTTTTAAGATGATAAATAATAAAAAAGAAGATCCCATTTACTTAAGCTTTTTTAAATTTTTCAGGGGTTTCATTTTCATTTAGTTAAGAAGTTAAATCAACATTGATCTTGAGCAGGGTTAACAAACACTCCTCCGTTGAACATAGCATTGACATAAGCTCCAAAGACGTTAGATCTCTTGAAGTTAGTTCTATCAAGTATTTTTGTCTTATCGTATATCCTAGAAAATAAAGCATTATGAATATATTCGTTAAAGAGTATATTGATAATCAATTGTAACTTACTCTTCATTATATGCCTCTCTGGAAGTTGTAGAGGGGAACTTAGAAGCGTTGCTGGCTGCTATACTCTAGCCTGCCTAGCTGAAGCCACTTCCTATTTTGTACACACCTCTATTGTTATTGCTTTGAGCTCTAGTTGGTACCACTCCTGAGAGTTGTTTAGACATCTCAAGGAGCTTTTGATTTTCATTTTGGAGTTTCATTCCCACGAAAGCCTTCAACTGCTCTCTCTCCCTTGCCTTCTCAATCCTTTACATTTTGATGATATTGTCATCCTCATTGTACTTGCTAGCTAGCTTCTCACCCAAGCTATCATTACTTTTAAAAATATATAGTCTTACTTTTATTTCCATTTCCTTGATGCTTGTGCTTAGGGAGTAGATAGATCTAGTTTTTTCTTGCCTGTGAAGTCATCTTGAGGAAAATAATCCACATTTCTTCTTTCATAATGCAGTGTGCCCAAATCCTTGAATTCATCTGATACTTAATGTATATGTGGGTAGAACTATTTCTTAGCAGTCTTATCGATGAAGTAGGGATTTTTGCCAGGGCTCTAGTTATTTTGAACTTAAGCCTGTCTCAGTAAATTATGGTGATTAGTCATATCTGCTCCTGATTGATTGCCTCTCTTAACGATTTAACTATAATAAGATTAGCTTTGGATAGTTATATACTTACTCAAAATGACATTTAAGACATAATGGAAACACAGATGTATCTAGTCCATTAGCTTGTGCTTGCTCCAAGAATCTCTAATTAAGGGTGAATTCTTCACTAGTCAAAGCAGAGTTGCATTAGTTGCATGAATCCTTCATATTTGAGCCATCATTGCCTCCGATCTCTTCCAAATCATCAAGACCATCTTCATTCATTTACTCCTCAATGGCATCGTTCTACATAGCATCGATGGTTCTATTCAGTCTGCCGTTTGGCTTCTTGATACCATTTGATCTCATAGAATAGCCAGTCCTCCTGGAGTAGTTACTCATTCTATCCATGTCCTTTTCCATAATCTTGCCATCAACATTGGTTCCAAGTCTGAGAGTGCCTCTGCCTGGCTTGACCATTTCAACGAACTTCCTCTTTGAAGTGTAGTCAAACTCACTCTTCATGCTTCTAGTCTCATCATCTCCCGCATTCTGTTCTTTCTGAAAAGACTAACTAAGACTCTTAAGCGCCTTGTTATCCAAGAGCGTTTGTCTATGATTGAACAACTGCTGTTGCTGTTACTAATCTTAGCCAGCTCTACTTACATCATTTTATTGATTTTGGATTTGCTGGATTGAAAACTTGGGCTGAGCATTCATTAGATCCTTAGCTACCTTATTATTGACTTTGCTGCCATCTAGGAATGATTTTTGAAGTTTAAGTCTGTTGCTGCTGCCACTCTGTAATTGTTGTAATCCACTTTGCTCTAAGCCACCTCTTCTATTTTGACCTGCATTAATAGATCCATTAAGGTTATCCTAGCCGTTCTTGACAGCTTAATCAATCTAGTACAAAAAGCTTTATTTATTAAGCTCTTGCTACTCGTTTTTCTAATTAAAACCTCTTTGAGTTTAATTGAGAGGAGCAGGATTATGGCCAACAATGTTCATATTATTTTTTTATCCTTTCTTTAATTATATTTTATTTTATTAACTGAATAAATTTACTTTATTGCCCTGACGGGGTTTTGGGGTTTTGGGGTTTTGGGGTTTTGGGGTTTTGGGG